CAGGTTTATATTGTGAACATTGAATTTATACTCATCCAAGCCACTACTGGTGGGGCTGGTCTGTGGATTTCAAAGTCCAGTGCAGAGAGAGAAATCACTGAGTGTGTTTGTCAAGGTGGAGTCAGATTTTCTTCCAATGGCTCGGCACAGAAGGCGGGAATGTTGGTGTTGAGAAAGAAAGAGAATGCAGCTTATGCCTTGTGCTGGAAGCAGAAGTATAAGAAGGAATTCCTCACAATAAACATTTGGCGTTACAATGAGGCACAGAGTTTTGGGCACCTCATCAGTGGAGTTGTCAAGATGGGCCCAGTTTATGACGATTCTGCTGCTTGTAGTAGAGGCCCATTGCAGATGCACTCTTATGCTCGAATCAGTGGAGCTTGGCTGGGCTCTGGATTATTGTTTATTCATGGCAACAGTAAGATTATTAGAATTGATCACCATTTCGAAAAAAAAAGTATTTTGATTCTTGGATAGCTTTCACATTTTCTTCCTTGCTGTCAGATCTTAATTAAAAAATTGAAGTTGTAATAATCAAAAACAACCTACTAAATATTTAAAAGCAAAAAACAAACAAAAACAAATATATAATATGAAAGAAAAAGGGGAAAATCTTGATTGTGTAAGTATTCAAATTCTGTTTTGTTGCAATTATTTCTTGTTGTACTGGTTCAAACGGCTGATTTGAAATAAACATACTATTCTGCAACCAGCATTTCCACAATTTCTGCAAAAGTAGAAATTAAATACCAGTATTTGGTCACAAAAACAGATCAGATTGTTTTTACCATTCACTCTGTCATTAAAATTTAAAGTGGCAAACATCATAGCTATAAGGCAATATAAAAATATCTTGAGTTATGTGGTAGAAACCTCTCTCATTTTGTATTTTAAATTTCAGATTTTAATTAAAAACTAAAAATTTTATTTATTAACTTTACAGTTAAGTGGTTATTCTCTCACTTGCTGAGCCCCACAGAAGACCTTTGTAAGTGATGATTCTGGAACTTGTCTTTGTAGAAGAACAGGTGTCTGAAGCAAGACTAAAAAGATGTTAGTGACATTTTGAAAAGTGCTGTCTTTAAGGATTGCACCTTTCTTAAAAATCTGTATTACCAACTTAAGCACAACACTGTAATTGTGTAATCATGTTACTATGATGACACTTTCATATGTCCAGCACTACTTATGAGAAAACTCACTATTCTTCCTCTCCATCATTTCACATCATTGGTGTGACAACAGACTGGATAAGAAACTGGTCAGATTTCCATTTTCAGACTTCAGTCACTTAATTTTGTTATGATCTTGCTACACTGTACTGATCTCCAGTTTGCTGGCAGAACAGGTCCCACCTGCTTTAACAAATCAAGGTGTTGGCTGTTTCCGGCTGCCTGTTATTTCTGTACTTTTAAAATCTGCACATGATTTCCTTGTGTTTTGTTGTCTGGTATCGTGGGACTCAAAAAAGACTAGGGGTAGGTGCCTAATTTCTTCTTGTACTCCACGTGTCAGGGGAGTAATTATGCATAAAATTTTTAATTAATTTACTGTAACAATCACAAATACAAATACTGTATAGTGAATTCATTTTTAGAACAAAAAGATAGGTCTGCATTTATTTTTAAGCATCCAGATTTAAGGGGAAACTGCTGTCCCAAATTCTCAGACCGGTTTTTAAATCTCAGTAACAAAATAAGTTAATTCACAGTATAGAAAAAAGACAAATTTGAATTAAATGCGAAATTGTAAAGTTTGTGAAAGTACCGCAAGTTGCCAAACCTCTGGTCTTGCCACAGGCAAGAGTGAGAGTTAACTTGAATTGAGATGTTAAGCCACCCTTCCTGCTCACTTGTCACTGTAATGACAAATGTATGAGCAAATAAGTACAGGTTGTGCAGTAGACATGTTCCTTTACTGTTTATGTTCATGTACAGTATTTGTCAGCAAAATCATCTCAAAATTGAGAACAATATTCCTATTGGATGAAAAGAGATGGATTCATGAGCCTGCTTGTTTACAATGTAATAGGGCCACTTCACATCACTGAATGTTTTGTTGCCTCATTCTGACTCACAGAATATGGTTCTGCACATGCCTGAAAATTTGCTTTTTTAAAATTTAAAATTTTGTGATGTGACATTGAAGTTTTAGAAGTTATTGTATACACTTTTATTATGGTTTGACATGCACTCATCAATGCTGATTCTTTCTAACCCCGAAATATAAAAATAGTGTTGCAGTTCCCCTTTAAAGTGAGATATTTAACTCTAGGTTGTATTCTGTTTGGTACAGCAGGCAGGTTTATTTCTTTTTTGGACTGGTTAGGCATTACATGGTGATTCATAGTGTAACTTGGATGTTGTATGTTTGTGATTAGCCCACTAGGCTAATCATTAGCCCACTAGGTCATTATGAGTAATTATCCAGTTTTGTATGTATTTTGTACATTTTGTACATACAAAATACAGTACAGTATGAGAGAGTATGTCAGTAATGTTTATTTCCAGTACTGGATGTCAGACACTGAAACACTGTCACAACATGTACAGTATTGCACATTAACAACACTAACATACTCTCAGTGTTGTAGTTACACTTATAACAAGAAATGTACAGTACAGACTCTGAGAGTAGTGTTGTTAATGTGCAGTATGTGTTGTGACAGTTTCAGTGTTGTTGATGTGCTTTATAGTGTCTGAGAATGCTTCAGTGTTGTTGAAGTGCAATACAGTAAGTGAGAGTATGTCAGTGTTGTTATTGTGCAGTATGGTGTGTGAGAATGTCAGTGTTTTTATTGTGCAGTTAAGTGTGTGAGAGTGTGTCAGTGTTGTTAATGAGCAGTACAGTGTGTGAAAGTGTGTCAGTGTTTTTATTGTGCAGTACAGTGTGTGAGAGTGTGTCAGTGTTGTTAATGAGCAGTACAGTGTGTGAAAGTGTGTCAGTGTTTTTATTGTGCAGTACAGTGTGTGAGAGTGTGTCAGTGTTGTTAATGAGCAGTACAGTGTGTGAAAGTGTGTCAGTGTTTTTATTGTGCAGTACAGTGTGTGAGAGTGTGTCAGTGTTGTTAATGAGCAGTACAGTGTGTGAAAGTGTGTCAGTGTTTTTATTGTGCAGTACAGTGTGTGAGAGTGTGTCAGTGTTGTTAATGAGCAGTACAGTGTGTGAGACTGGGTCAGTGTTGTAAATGTGCAGTACAGTGTGTGAGAGGGTGTCAGTGTTGTTAATGTGCTTTATAGTGTGCGAGAGTGCTTCAGTGTTGTTGAAGTGCAGTAGAGTGTGTGAGACTGTGTCAGTGTTGTTAATGAGCAGTACAGTGTGTGAGACTGGGTCAGTGTTATAAATGTGAGAGATTCTCAGTTTCTGTTGTGTGTTGGCAGGTTCTGCTGGTCTGGATCAGATCCTTGAATCCCTCTGCTGATCCTCAGGAGGGGAGCAGATTCTGAAATGAGTCTCTCCGAGGAGCCTAAGGTAGAGGATGGAGCGATGGGCCTTGAAATTGAGAGGTAAGAGAGTGTCCTTGTGTTTGAGAAACTGATTCTGTCACTGTTGCTGTATGGTTAGGGAGCTGTGAGGATGGGTTTGAGGAATGTGCTCTGTGTACAGATGCAGCCATTCAAAACACGGTGGGCGTGTTGCATCCAAACGCGTCATATTGCATCATTTCGATATTATTTTTTTCATTCATTTCAAAGATATTATTAATAACCTTTTAAATCTGAAGGGAGATCTAAAGGAAACCACACGGCACAGGTCCCTGCAAGCTATTCAGAGGGAAAGACGGTGATGTCACCGCGCAGGCAAGCAGACACAGCCTCTAATGTCAGGCGTATGCGTTAAATATATTTAGATCTTTGAATTAATATCATTATTGATTTCTTTAGCCTCACAACATTATCCAATAATACTCTTCTTGCGTCTAATTTTTAGTTAAGAAGGATTTGAACTACAGACCATAAAAAAAACAGGATTCACTTTTTTCACAAATTGATGAATTTCAAAATTGCAGTTTGAAATTATTCGTTGTTATTGATAAATGACTTGGATTCAACATGTTGTGATATTTAGAAATATAAAAAAGTCAATGGAGTGTCCATAATATTGCTAATTGCTATTGCTATTTTAGTTTTTCAAAGAAATGTTTGTTAAAAGAAACCTCATGGCAATAACTGGATTTGAATAAACACCCTTAGCCTTATAAATCAGTTACTTAAGCCATCACACCACCACCACAGTGACATATCAGCTAGTGAAACAGCTGTACACATATCAATAGAAAGTCTTATACTACTGTTTGTGCTACAGTACATGAATATAATTATATCGTTATTAATTTCTTTAGATATGCGATTCCATATTATATTCCCTATTAATCAAATTCTAAAAGTATGCTTTTGTTTACTCCGATAATGAGTATTCATATATTCGCAGAAAAGGTTAAAACGATCAATTTTCACAAAGTATATAAACGTACAGTAATATGGTCAGAAGGAGCACGTAAAAACGTTTCGGAAATAACCACATGTAAGACTTTGATGCTTAAAATGTTTAGGGAGAAATGGAATATTGGTGTGTATTATTTCTTTAAACAACCAATACCAGCCATATACAGTACAGTTTATATAATATGTTTATGTTCCTAAATTAATATTGTTTATGACCTTCAGATGTGTTATCCTCCTCTTCTTTTTATGCTCAGCTACTAAAATGTCCCTTTAGTTGTAAAATTGCATATAAATATTCAATACCAAGCAGATTAAAATGTGCACAGTAAAGGTATTAAATGATTAAATCTTTTCACTACCGACCAATGCACCACGAGTGCCCCTGTCGGTAACTTTGGCCAGCCAATCACATACCGCTGTATGTCGTGGTGGCTTGTGCGTAGTTGCAGTACCGAAGCATTCGGTCAAAGTCCAACAGATTACAGAACAGCTTCTACCTTCAGGCAATAAGACTGCTAAATAGCCAACCTGCAGCTCCTTAAGCAAATCACCCGTAATGGCTACATGGACCTACAGTTGTCAATGTATTCAGCATACTGCACTACTTGGACATAAAGTATTGCATACACCATGGACACATAGCAGTTCTATTCACATTGAGTTTTATTCAATTTCTATTATATGATTATCTGTTATTATGTAACTGTCACGATCGCTACTCCTCCTTTTAAGGGTGCTCCAGCCCTTCCTTGTTTTGCCCCATTACCTGCACCTGCTTCTTATTTCTATTCTCCCTTTAAAGCCAGACGCTGACATCATTCGGCGCTCCTCATTGAATTCCGCTTCGTGAGAGCCCGGGTCCTGCTGCGTCTGGCTCCGTTATACTTTTAACCTTCTGTTCCTGATTCCCCAGTGTTTCCTCACAATTCTGGATTGTGTCGTCTGCATACTATCCGTGACAGTAACCTTATTTTTGTAACCTTAATTTGTGATTTTTGTGATTTTTACCCCCCCGGTAATCTCAAAGAAAAAACATTTCACTGCATGCTGTGTTGTTGTGGATTTGATAAATAAACTTTGATTTGAACTTTGGTTTTTTAAAGGATATTAATTTAGGAACATAAAAATATTATGTAAACTGTATATGGCTGGTATTGGTAGTTTAAAGAAAATATATAAACCAGTATTCCACTTTCTTCCTAAACATTTTATGCATCAAAGTCTTACATGTGGTTATTTCGGAAATGTTTTTATGTGCTCCTTATGACCATATTAAGTTTATATACTTTATGAAAAGTGATAGTTTTTACCTTTTCTGCAAATATGCTTGTTATCGGAGTAAACAAAAGCATACTTTTAGAATTTGATTAATAGGGAATATAATATGGAACCGCGTATCTAAAGAAATTAATAACGATATAATTATATTCATATACTGTAGCACAGTCTAGTATAAGACTTTCTATTGATGTGTGTATGGCTGTTTCAGTAATATTAACGTGCCTGTGTCTGTGGTGTGATAACATAAGCTTGGGTCCTATGAGTCTGAGGTGTGTGTTCAAATCCAGTTATTGCCATGAGTTTTCTTTTAACAAATAAACATTTCTTTGAAAAACTAAAATAGTAAATATTATGGACACTATATTGCCATTTTTATATTTCTAAATATCACAACATGTTCAAAGCTAAGTCATTTATTAATAACAACGAATAATTTCAAACTACTACTGATATTATTACTGACAATTGTAGTGTGCTCTCTGAAGGCCCCAGTTCTGTAGGGTTTGGGCATTTACTGGGACAATTATTAATTGTAGCAGTAAATCACAAAAT